TACTTAGTATTTTACACCACGTGTTACCACAGGCAAATTTCTGATGGAGGACAATGGGGCTAATATTCAAGTAGCTGTTATTCGAACCACAACCTCCGACTGCTGAACTTCAGAGCGCCAGAAAAACAACAGCATTGCTTGCAAGGAATGTCTCTGAAGAGCTCAGTTTGCTTATTCATCTCCTCAACACGAACGATATCCCAAATTACAAATGAATGAGGGAATTTGATTTTAACAGCACCATTAAACAATCATGCAAGAGGACAAATTCATTCTTTCTCAGTGGTGCTTTAAGCTAATGTGCTGTAGGAGAGCGTGAGGTTTTTGATTAGATCTAAAGCTGGCTGCTCTCGCTCTCCCGTTATTAATTGGAAGCAAACTTGGTAATGCAGCATGCAGATGAGCCTTTTGTTGGTGTTTTTCAAAGTAATGGATATACTCGGAAACACTTCTCAAGAATGTGCTTCTCGCTGCAGAGCCAACGCAGAGCAGCTCAGTTCTGTAATGCATTTTTTTGGTTCCTTTAAAGTGCTCCTCTCGACCCATAACCTCACCTTTCAGCTGCTTTCCAGCCGTGCCACACCACCACCAAAGTTATATCTCCTCATTTCCAAGCCATTAGACAATTTGAAACACATTCCCTTGGTGTGCAGTGGGTCCTCGTTCCCCTGCCAGGTGTTTCTGAGGGCTGTGTGTGTCCGGGTGTTTGCAGAGAGGTGCGATTGAGTATGCAAATCTTATCAATTAATTTAGCATCCCAGCATTGCTTTATTATTATTATTATTATTATTATTATTATTATTATTATTGCCTATAATTTGTATATTCAGCCACAACTCCATGGTACATCCAAGTTTCATCTCCAGCTTCCTATTTCATGGCTCCTTTGCATCTATATACATGTATATATTTATATGTATATATATATATGTATAAAATAAAGCGTCTCCATTCCTACGTATGCAGAGTGAGGCACGTCCTTCCTTACAAAGCAGCCTCACTTCTCGGTGGCTGCAGTGCCCTGGCAATTCCTCTTGTGTTCTCTTGCCATTCCAGAGCGTTCTTGTTCAGCGTTTCCAGAGAGGGTTCTGCATGTCGCTGCAGAGCAAGCCGGTGCTTTTGTGTGCACGTCTTTGTTGTGCTTTATTTTGCTGACAGAAACCAAGGTATCTCTGATTCATGCTGGTAAGGCATGCTTTCGCTATTGTTTCGCAGGTTATTTTGAGGTATGTTTCCCCCCAGGGTTTTTCCTCGCTTCGCTTTTTGACCTTTTAGCATCCTACAAGCGATCTCCTTGATTAAACGTGGCGAGTCCTAATGGGTTTACGTGGTGTTTCTCAAATGAGGGTAATTTGAGGACTTCAGATTGACGCGGGGAGGGAAGTGGGGATTGCTCCAGACTTCGAGGTGCCCATGGCATGACTGCATGGGAGAAAACAGCGTTTCTCCACCCCGCTCCTCCGCTCCCCCAGGAGGGGAGCCCACAGACACGTCCTGGTTGCTCGTCACGTTGGGCAGACACGTGAAGGGTTATTTTCAGCAGCATCTGTGCTGTAGTGCTGTCCTAGAGACCGTTTTGCTGGAGGTAATTTCTCCTCCTGCATCCGTCCCATCCGAATGGGAAGAGCATCGCTGGCTCCCCGGCGCGGTGCAGCTGCGTGGGGACCAACCCAAATTCCCACCCGTGAGGGCCGTGGGCTGCGGAGCATCCCCAGCTGCAGCCCGAGAGCAGCGAGGCGGGGAGATTTGATGCCATAATTTGCATTACTGACATTGCAGAGGGAGTCCCCAGGACAAACTCCTCCGTTCGTCTCAGTACCGGCAGCATGAGCATGGAGGACGCGTGGGTGCTCCTCCAAGAAACCCTACTTTCACTGGGATTGTTCTCAGACACTGTGCTCAGAGCTGGTGTGGTCACAGCCCCTGTCTTAAGCTAGCTCTATTATTTTTCTGAGTAAGTGGTTTATTCATTTCCCTCACTGTCATTTATCTTTTTGACTTGGTCTGATTAGAAAGACAGAGTTTAATGGTTAGATCTACTTTTAGCCAATACCGGGTGTCACAGCTGGTTCCCACTGCTCCGTAGGCACCATTAGGATTTGCATTTTATTCACTGAATATTTGAATTTATGAGGCTATTTTTTGATTTTTTTATTATTATATTTTTTTAATCCAAGATTTCACATTGAAAGTAATGCTTATCAGAGCATGCTTGAGCCATGATGTTAGAATTTGGTGGTGGAAGGGTGTTTTGATGAACTGCACTGGGAAATAAACATATTGTGGCAGTCTCTTGTGTTTCTCCTTCTGAGATTAAAATTAAATGGCTTTGCCCAGGTTATGAAAAGCTTTCTGGTCAAGAAATTTGGCTTCACTGGGAAACAAAACCCTCAGTCGAAATGAAAAACCAAGGCATTTCAGCCATTCGGAGTTCTCACATTATTTTTTTTTCCAGGTGAAATTATCTAGATTGTTGCAAGCATGTTGAAAGCTTTGTTTCTTTAAAGCATGAGAGTGTGGCATATGAGAAGCCTGCTTATACCTGTCAGGAAAAAAAAAATATATATATATATATATATATATATATATATATATATATATATATATATATATAAATGGTCCTGCTGCATTTATCAATAATCTTTGTGACAGTACAGAGCTATGGAGATCAGGGGAGCCCCGAAATGTCTGCAGCTCTCCGTGTCCCCTGCTGGGTGTTGAATTAAGGCAGGTTTAAAGAGCCAGCAGGCTTCAGCAAAGGTTGTTTGGAGCCCTTTGTGCTCCCCAGCCGTGAGGTGATCTCTGCAGGCGCAGCCGGGCGTTGGGCGAGCTCAGTTTGATGCTGCAGCGTTTCAAAACTGGCTGTCGTATTAAGATTGTGTTCACAATGGCAGGGAAACGAAACATGTTTGTTTTGAAACAATTAGTGCTGTGCCATTACAAAACCTCCTTGGGATGAGGGATGTGATTTTTAGCCTCAGCTCTGCCAGCAGCCGTGCCACCCCCTTGCAGGGTTCCTGGGCGCAGGTCCCCGCGTGCTGCTCGGACCGTGGCAGGGCTTTTATTTCAGCGTGCTTTGCAGAGCCCCAAACCAGATAGCCAGGGAACCATGGCATTCAAAAGCAGCGCTGATGAATTCATTGGCCTTTTAACCTGACCTACAAAGTAATTTGTTGCTTCGGTTCGTTTTACAGCACTTGGGCTCGCTGGGTTGGGGAGGCGCAGCAGGATTCCTGCCCGTCCCTGGCACAGGAGGCAGATGCCAGCTCTTTCGCTGGGCTGCTGTGTTGTTCCCTGGGCTCTGTGGCTGGATGGGCTTTGCTTTGCTCTCCGTTTTCTCCGCTCTGCTCTGAAGCCTCTCTTTTGGGAGCTTTTCACTGGCTGCAGCACCCGTGCAAAGAGTTTGCAGCCCCCTGGGCGTCAGCCCGGCCGCCCGAGCGGCCTCTCCGTGCCTCTGCCGGCGGCTGGGGGCCAGATCCTGCCCGTCCCCAACCTGCCAGCTGCGGAAATAAATAGAAACACGTGCTGCGAAGGCAGGAATTTAAAGTGCAGGAGGTTTTGAGCCGGGGTTTAGGAGCTGGAACACCAGCATCGGCTGCATCCACGGCTCTGTCGGTGCCAAGGCACTGACCCTGTAGGTTCAGCCAGTTCTCCCCTTTTGTGTGCTGCTGCCTGGAGGTGACACGTCCACAAACAAGGAGAAAGAAGGGGGGACAATGACAATTTTAAATGGGTTTTACGGTTTTCCTTCAGAAAAGCTAACGCTTGCGGATTCCCACCTGCCCACAGCGCTGCTTTTCCCTCTTCATTTTTTTCAGACCCAGCTAAGAAACGAGTGGTGCAAGGCACAGCCCGGGCAGGTGGGTTTGCTGAGCCCACCTCCCACCGGGGCAGGATCCAGCCCCTCCTGCAGCCCTCTGCAGCTCGCAGGCGGTGTGCGAGCAAAGGGGAGGGCCAGGGCTGGGTGCACATCGGGAGCAGAGAGGCCTTTAATGATCATAGCGGGGACTTTTATGACCTGCAGCTTCACGAGCCACTCTTTTAACTGGGAGTCCATGAAAGGAGTTCATTCTCCTCTGCTATTTAAAGGATGCTTTTGATGCCGTGGTTTTGTTCTCGGGGCAGTGACAGGGTTGATAACCTTCGGAGCTGCTTTTTGAAGCCTGCTCGTTCTTCCCTGAGGTGGGCGTGCATGCATTTGGTGCGGGTAGGTGTTTGTGAATCAAATACCCGCCATCGAGTTTATTCAGCACAAAAAAAAAAAGAAAACCCCATCCTGGTGAAGCTGCCCAGGTTCCTGGCGGGTGCAGCAGCAGGCAGAACGGGAGCATTTGGCTCCTCCTGCCTTCATCTGGTGTGAAATCTCGGATTTTATGGAGTGGAAATACCTGGGGAAGTGCCCCGGGCAACGAGCCGCCTCGTAGCTGGGAGGGCTGGGGAGGCTTCTGAGCCGAAACCCAAGTTTCGGGGTTGGGATGTGTGTTTAATAACTGTCAAAGAGTTTTTAACGCAGCGACTATTTTTCATGAATAGGAGGTCGCTACATAAAATTTTTGCCTCTCGGCAAAAATCGCGTTATAAAGATGTACTTGCTCTAGGTTTAAAGTGTTAATTATGTGGTATACTGAATTGGATTTAAAGGTCCCTGAAGACCTTTGAATCTCAGTAGCTAATGAGGCTTACAGAAGAGGGCTTGAGAGAGAAAAACTTACTGGCAGTGAGTAATACTGGTGAAAGAGCTCCAGGATTGAGCAAGTTTTACAGAGGGTAATTAGCAAGGATTGCATCAGCGTTTGGGGCTTGTGCCCATCTCCAGCTCCATCTTCCATGATCTGCATGGCAGTGGCAGCCGGCTGCGGGCACCGAGGTGGTTTTTGTTGGGTCACCAAACCAGAGGGTGATAGAAATGACTTTTCTGGTGCAGCCACACGTCCATCCTGCTGGTGCTGGGCTTGGGTCACCCACTGCCACGATGCTTAACCGTGTCCTTGTTCTTCCAGCTGGCCTTGCTGAACTTCTTTCACCCTGAGGACAAGCTGCACGTTGGAGAGGAAGGGAGACGTGTCCGGCGGAATAAAAGGAGTAAAGGCAGCGAGGGGCCCGATGGTGAGTGTCACTCCGTTCCTTGCTGCTGTGCCTGGCACTTTCGCGCTCGTAATCATTTGGCTGACCTTTTTTTTTCTGATCGTGGTTATATGCAGAGTTCCGTATGTAGGGGGAGAAAAAAAAAAAAGTGTCATCTGTGGCTTATAATTGTCTCTATATAATTTTGATTGCCTTCGAGATTATTAGTTCCAGCAGGCCTTTTTTCTACAACTGGAGCTCCAGTGAGCTTGCACAAATCAGTGCTACTCAGTGCTCGTCGTTAGCTCTTCTTCTCTAATAGAGAGGCTCTGTGCTCATTCAAGCTAATAATTTGTACTCGTACACCTGTATTTGTTGCTCTATTCAGCTGTTTTAGATGAATACAACCAGACCTTCTGGTTGGGTTTGGAGGTGGTATCTGAGGGTGCCTCCTCTGCAAGGACCATCCCGTCACCTGCTCCTTGTTGGGATGGGATGTTTTTTTTTTGTTGTTTTGTGTTTTGTTTTTTTTTTAAAGTGTTTTAATCCTCAACCTGGAAGGCTCTGGGAAGTGGAGCCCATTCCTGCTGTCGACCATTCCTGCACTCGACCACATCTTTCAGCAGAAATGCTGCTACTGCTGCTATCCTTACCCTAGCATCAGGAGCTGGTATGTGAAACAGGACAGAAATCAGAGTAAGAGGTGCGTTAGGGCAGATTTAGAACAACCACAGCTTACCAAAAGCCAGTCCCAGCAGCCAGACCACGTTGCCCCCATCAGACGGGGTCTGCCGAGCAGCAGCAGAAACGTGCGCGCCGCTCGGCTCTGCCTTGGCACCGGCTGACAGCGAGCAGCGAGGCTGCCTCGCGTGAATTAGAGCAAGAAGTAATTAAGGAGTGGTCTGTGCGTGGCTTGGTGCCTGCTGAGCTTGTCAAGCCCTGACGGCAGTTTATAAACTTCTCAGCCCGCGTTAGTTTTCCCCCCTCGGCTTCCAGGCTCGGTGAGCTCCCCATCCTCCCCTCGCAGTTTCGCAGTGGCAAACGCTCTGCGGTGGCTCCGCTCCAAGAAATAGCTTCGTGAAACTCCCAGGATTCCTCCTCGCCGAAACGCTGACAAGTATGATGCATTTGGTACAGACTCACTGAGTGATTCCAGCTCGGTGTGGTCCAGCATCCTCAGCGTCGGTGTCGGCCTGATGCTCAGATGGCTCGGGGAGGATGCGGAGCCTTTTGCAGCAACTCCTCGAAATCCGTTCCAGCGTCTTCGCGAGGCGCTTGTGCGCGTAGCGAGTTTCCCCTCGATGGGAACCGTGCAAATTCAGTGCTGCCGGCAGATGTCTGGTGGAATTAGCCTCGTCCGTTCGGCTGGCTGAGCACCGGCTTCGTATTGACAGATGTGCAGGGAATCGTGGTGCTGTGAGAAGGAGCTGCTGAAAGCCGGTGTGGAAAGCCTCCGTGCCTGTCCCACATCCACTCCGTGTTCCCTGAACGCACCAGGGCTGAATCGTTCCAGCAATCTAGCGCGGTTCCACCAATTATTTTATTTTATTTTATTTTTTTATAAGTTGTTTTTTGACCGTGTAAGGTATTTGGGATGGGCAGAAGTGCCCCAGTGACAGGTTGTTCTCCTGCTGACAAGGATGGGCTGTGCTGGCAGGCGGCTGCTTGGTGTTTGGCCATCTCGGTTTTATGAGGGAGGGAGGCATTTAACAAGTGGAAGCTGTCAGGGTAGGGATTGTTCTTGTAACAACCATAAAATCAGTAAACAAACAACAGAGCTTTCTTCCCCGTGTGACTCCTGGGGTTTGTTTTAGGTTTGCGTGCAGGAATCTGTTTTTCGGAGAAGGCGAATGAATCATTAATACGCACACACACAAATAAATGATTGTTACGGTATCGATAACGCCGCTTGCTCCATGAGTTTTACAAAGGAAAAGCTGATCAGATCTTTGATCTCCAAAGAGCCTCGCGAAGATAAAAGTGGATGCACTGTAACTTCCCAGAAGGAAGGAGATGTGCTTTCCACTTGAGGCCTCGCTAATATTGGTCTGGAATTAATTTCACCAACTTTCAAGTCCCTTCACACATGCAGCGAAAGGCTGGGGCGATGCGACGTGTGAGAAGCCGTGGCTGCAGGGAGGCTGCGAGGCCTCGCTGGGTGCCTGCTGGGCTCCTCACCAGCTTTTCCCAACAAAGCCATGGGCTGGATGCTGTGTAGATGTCAACGATACTCTGCTTCTTTTCCTGAAAGTTCGGGTTCTTTTAGGAAAAGGAGCTTGGGCAGCGAAAAGGGCGTTTTGAGGAGGGGTCAGACGGGTCCCATCCCCTTCCCCAGGGTGGGAGGCTTGGGGGCCGCCGGCGGTGAGCCCGGTGTGCTGCCTCCGTGCTGCTTTCTGAAAAAGCCCACAAAAAGCTGTGTGCAGCAGGGCAAGGCCATCAATCACGCCCCGCCACTGGCAAACACGACTCGAGTGCTTCGAGGGCTCCTCCTCGGCGCACTGCTCACTTGTCATGTTTTACGAGCGTGTTTGCTTAATTTTTTGTTTGCGCCCCTCCGTGCGCGGTGCCCTGGAACCGCCTGAACAAAGCCGGGGTCGTGTCCTGGGAGGAGCAGGAGGCTCCTCGTGCCCTGCCCCACGGCTCGCCCTGCTCCTGCTCGCCCTTTGCCAGGCTGCCAGCCGTGCCGTGCCGTGCCGTGCCGTGCCGTGCCGTGCCGTGCCGTGCCAGTGCCGTGCCGTGCCAGCGCCGTGTCACCTCGCCAGGGGCCAGCAGCATTAACGGGAGGCTGGTGCCTGCCCCAGCCCCGAGGAGCGCAGATCGTGTTTCAAGCCAGCTTCCTCTCCATGCCTCCAAAACCAACGTTTGCACAGCTTTGAAAGCTGCTCCGATTCCTTTCGACTTCTCAAGGCGCAGCGTTAGCCTCTTTACGGCTCCGGTTTATGGCGCTCCGCGGTACCGGCTCCACCTGCCGCTTAATTTGCCCTAGTTCACTAAAACTTGCCCCTCTCCGATGTCTCTCTCTTATTTTCCTCTTTGTGCCCTCCTTCCTTTTTGTCTCGGTGTATTTATGCTGCTGTGGAACCGCTGTAGCTCCCAGATTAACAAATCATTCTGGAGCTGGTAATTAGCAACAGTTGTGCTAAAAGGAACCATCAAGAATGTTAAATTAGTCCACTTTTAAATAAACTGTGTATGAAATGTTAGATCTCTATTCCCAGAGCAACAGTAAAAATGCTGCTGGCTCTTTGCTAACAAAGCCAAAATATGGGAGTAGCATGGTTGTAACTACAGAGACAATTCCGTGCTCTTGAGGTTATAAATAATGACAGAACATTTACAAAGCAGATGTCAATAGGACTCTTTAAAAAACATTGTTTTAAAAAAACTAGTTTCTTTTTCTCCTACTTTCATCTCTGTTCCCAGTTAGATCCCTGCAGTGCCGCTTTCCTGGTTTGTTTGGTTTTTGCTTCTCGGTTTGGGGTTGGGTTTTTTTTTTTTTTTTTTTTTTTTTTTCTCCCTTCCTAGGTTTTTTCATATTGAGCTTGGTGAGAAACATAAATGATTGTTATCCATTCTTTGATTTGGAGCATGGCAGCTGGAAAGAGGCTGAGCAGATGGCTGTCCTTAAGCTGACAACAATTTGGTTCCTACTACTTTGGCAGTCCTTACTGCTGAGGAAAGTCCTTGATGAGAACTCACTGCTTTTAGCGCTGTGAATGGTTTCTGCTGAACCAAAAATTCGGTTCCTTTCACCAGGATGGCAGCAGCTCGAGAAGAGCCCTGCTTTTACCTGGTGCTGGGAGAACAGTGCCGACGGGGTTTTGGCTGCAGGTAGCTGGCCCCGAGCCCCCCACCCCATAGGGACAGGCACCTGCGGCTGCCCCCGTCCCCACGTCCCCTCCTGCGGGGGTGCAGCCGGGTTTTTTTTTGTAAGGATCACAATAGCGACCTTTCCTGCTCGCTTCCTCTGCTTTGGAAAGGGAAGATACATCCCTCCGACTCCAGAGCCCAGAACAATCGGTTCCTTTGTGTCGGCCCCGTGCAATTCCCCAAAGTCCAGGAATTCTCAGAAACGCAGATGTATTAAGGGCGATAGAGCCTTATTGTGCTCCGAAACCATGGTGATGAGCACTCAATAAATAAAGAACATTTCCTGGATACTGGAGCGGAGGAGACAGTCCCAAGGAAAGGCTCACCAGAAAATACTCGCTCTTCTCTGATTTTTCCTCCCCAGGATTTCTCTCTGATTTCCCCCAAAATGGCAGAAGGGAGGAATTAAGATGTGTTGCAATAAATTTTTCATTCTTCATGTACAAGGACCATGACATCACTGCCAGTATTTTTTGTGACTGTGGCTAAAACTAAGACCCCAGCTCATTTACAGATCCTTACCTACGTGATACACCGAGGTTTATTATAATAAGGTGGGCTCTTTGTATAAGGTCCCTTATCTTGGGCACTTTCCTTCCATGAAGACACATAGATAAAAACGTAGGAAACTAATTTTAGACCCTGGTCTTGTGTCTGTGCTTGTTCCTAACCGCTGTTTCCACAGAGACAGATCCAGAGAAGCTTAACAACTGTCTGAAAATTCAGAATGAGTTCAGGTCACGGTTTTCAGCTCTCTTACTTAACGCTAGTGGCAGATTAATACCGGGTCATTGCTGGAAACAAGTGACAATAAAGGGGAAAAATACATTCCAGGGGGTCTTCTTGCTCCAGGTGTAACTTGTAAAAGAGTGTATTTTTAGGCAGCTGAAATGTTTTCAGCTTATCCTTGGCTCAAACCACTCCAAATTAATTTCTTTAATCCTGAAATCACTTTGAAGCCAGATTCGCTGCAGTGTCTGTTAACAGGCTTTGCTGAAGCCCGGCTTGGGACACCGTAGGGAGTCATTTGCCATGCAGAAGCATGATGTGGTGTGGGTGCGGATGGAGTCCGGATTTCTTCTTGAGCTCTGCTGGTACGCAGCTACCCCAGTAGCCTTCCCTTCCACGTCTGACCCGGCTTGTTGCAGAAGCCCTGCTTCCTTACTCTTCAT